GGGCACCCCCCGGCCCTGGGTTCAGGGGTCCCAGCCCCGTGCCCAGCCCCGAGCAGGGTCCCATCCCAGCCCCACCCACCTTGAAGGCCTCGCGCCGCTGGTATTCCAGCTTGGCCATCTCCTCGGCCACCCAGGCAGGAATGTCGGGAATGGCCACCTGGATGATGTACTTCAGGAACAGGGCGAAGTGCTGTGGGGGCACACGGATCTGGCTGAGTTCCCCTGGCACTTCCACCCTCCCCGAAATCCCACCCCGGGGGGAACGGGGGAACGGGGAGACCCTACACTAACATCAGGGGGGGATTCCAGATCCCACCCTGTTGTTGGGCAGCGCGAGCTGCCTGCAGGGAATGTGTCCAGGGATGTGCACGTGTGGGATGGACACGTCAGGGGGGGTGGGTTTCCAGGGATTTGCCTGCCCAGGGATGTGACTATCCAGGCATGTACATGGCACGAGCGGGATGGGCCTGTGTGGGATGAACATGTCCAGGGATGTTCATGTCCAGGGATGCTCATGTCCAGGGATGCTCATGTCCACATATGTGAGTAGAGAGGAAGGGAAGGGAAGATCTGTGGGATCCCTGGGCCATGACCACACCCTGGCACCGCCCGGGGAGACCCTACACAAACTCCCGGCCGTGAATCCCGGCGCCAATTCCGTACCTCCAGCACCACCACGGAGATGATGGCTCCCTCGGGGCTGAGCCACGGGAAGAGCCTCTGGAGCTGCCCACACTGGGCGATCAGGTAACAGTTGACCACGATGGCCAGGACGCCCATGGCCTCCATCACCTTCTGCAAGAGCGGCGGTGCCCAGGGTGAGCCCCCGGGGGCTGAGCCCCCCTCGGAGCCCCCCCGGAGCCCCTCAGAGCCCCCCGGCCCCTCAGCCCACCTGCCACTGGCCGATGCTCTCGACGCGCTGGCCGAAGGGTCTCTGCAGCCCCGTGCAGAGCTTGAAGGCGTCGCTGCGGATCTCGATGACGTTGTTGACCAGGGCGCACATGGCGGCCAGGGGGAAGGCCGAGGAGAACAGCACCACGTACCCGAACTGGATGAACATCTCCTGGTAGTCCTGGAACGTGTCCTGGGGACAAGAGCTCCAAGGTCATTGAGTCCCCCCTGTGCCCCATCCCCACCTTGTCCCCCAGCCCAGAGCACTGAGGGCCACGGCCAGGCCTTCCTGGGACACCTCCAGGGGTGGGGACTCCAAACCTCCCTGGGCAGCCCCTCCCAATGCCTGACCACCCTTTCCAGGAAGGAATATTTCCCCAAATCCAACCTGATCCTCCCCTGGCACAGATTGAGGCCATTCCCTCTCATCATGTCCCTTGTTCCCTGGGAGCAGAGCCCGACTCCCCCCTGCTCCCCCAGGAGTCAGGGAGTTGGACAGAGTGAGAAGGTCCCCCCTGAGCCTCCTTTTCTCCAGGCGGAGCCCCCCCAGCTCCCTCAGCTGCTCCTCACACAATTGACTCTCCAGCCCCTTCCCCAGCTCCGTTCCCTTCCCTGGACACTCTCCAGCCCCTCAGTGTATCTCTTGTCATGAAGGGGCTCAAAACTGACCCCAGGACTCAAGGTGTGGCCTTGAGTGCCCTGGTCCCGTGGCCACACTGATTTTGACCCAAACCAGGTGCCCTTGTCCTCCTGCCCACCTGGGCACACCTTGGCCCACGGACAGTTGCCCCCTCAGGTCCTTCCCCGCCCGGGCCGAGGGGATTTGGGGCTCCCCCCGGGGGCTCACCTCGTACTTCTTCATGCAGCTCTCCACCTCCGCCTGCGTCAGCTGCGTGGAGTAATCCTCCTCGGGCGGGTCGATCCACGACGCCCGGTTGCGCCTCCGCCCTTCCTCCTCCCCATCCTCCTCCTCCCGCCTCCTCCGGCCGGGCCGCGGCACCACCGCCGGCTCCGCCGCCTTCGCCGGGCTCCCGGGGGGCCCTTCGGCCTCGTCGTCGTCCTCGCAGAGCTCGAAGACGGCGGCGGGGTCCATGCCCTTCTCCACCATGGTGGGACTGCCCTCCTCGAGGAAAGGCTCGTCCTCGGCGCCGCCGGGCTCCCCGCGCCGCTCCGCCCGCTCCACGAAGCTCACCTTCTTCAGCTTCAGCCCGCAGTCCAGCGCGCTCTCCTCCTCCGAGTCCGACTCCCGCCGCTCCTCCTCCTCCTCCTCCTCCTCCGGGACCCCGCAGCCGCCGTTCAGACACTTCTTCTCGCCGCGGGGCCCCTCCGGGGGGCGCGGGGGGTGGCGGCGGGGGGCGAGCAGGCAGAGCAGGCTGTGGGCGAGCTGCCGCAGGCTGCGCAGGTTCAGGTCCCCGCGGCGCAGCCGCTGGTACAGGTGGGGCTGGGACACCTCCCGCACGTTCTGCAGGAACTGCCGCGTGATGAGCAGCGTGGCCAGCATCTGTTGGGGACGCGGCTGTCACCCGGGGGAGGAGGAGGAGGAGGAGGAGGGGGCGGCATCCCCGTCGCCTGCCCCTCCCCGCGGGGTCCCTGCTCCTGCCTGTCCTCCCCGGCCCTGCAGGGTCCCCGCTCCTCTGCGGTCCCTCCTCTTCCCTGTCGTCCCCTCGGCGTCCCTGCTCCTCCTGTGGGGTGCCTGCTCCTCCCTGTTGTCCCCACGGGGTCTCTGCTCCTCCCTGTCCTCCCCGCGGTGTCCCCTCTCCTCCTGTGGGGTCCCTGCTCCTCCCTGTTGTCCCCGCGGTGTCCCTGCTCATCCCGGGGGGGGGGTCCCTGCTCCTCCCCGCGGCCGTGCTGCCAGAGCAGGACACCCAAAACCCGGTGTCCCCTCTCCTGTGACCGCCCCGTCGGTGACAACTGATGGGGTGGGACCTCGGCGGTGCCACCGCCGGCTGCGGCACGGCCGGGGATGGGGACACCGCTGTCCCTCCCGGGGCCGGGGGGGGGTCCCGGGGTGGGATGCAAGGGGGATGCCCCGCCCCTCCCTCCCCGCTCCTACTTTGGATACTCCCAGTCTCCAGCAAAAGCTCAGGAGGCCCTTAAGGAAGATGAGAGAGAGGTGGAGGTGGAGGAGGATGAAGGGGAGAAGAGCCTCTTTGAGCTGCCGCACGAGGCTTTGGGAGAGAGAGAAGATGAGCAGGAGCTGCGGAAGGGACAGAAGAACAGACAGACACAGACAGAGAGACGCCGTGAGCGGGACCGGGGACCCCCGGGGGGTGGAGCAGCCGCAGGGACCGTGGTGGGAGCACGGGGGGGACACCCCGGGAGGGCACGGGGGGACAGTGGCGGGGGGCGGGGTCGAGGACATCCGTCTGTCCCTCCGGGCGGTGCCGGGGGGGGCTCGGGCCGGCCCCGGGCACGGCCCCTCACCTCCTTCAGCCGTTCCATGTCTTTGAGGTAGAAACCGATGTAGAAAAGACTCAGGTAGGAATTTACAAACTGAAACTGCGGGAGAAGGGAGAGGGGTGAGTGGGGGGGGGGCACCAGCACCCCTCGGTCCCCTCTGTGCCCCCAGTGCCACCAGAACCCTTCCAGTCCCCTCTGTCCTTCCCCCCCGAGGTTTGTGGGTCCCCTCCAGACCCCTCTGTACCCCCCAGCACCATCGGGACCCCTCCAGTCACCCCTGTCCCCCACAGGACCCTCACAGGCCCCTCTGGGGCTGCTGAGACCCCTCTGTCCCCCTCGGGAACCCTCCCATTCCCTCTGTCACCCCACGGAGCCATTGGGACCCCCCCAGTCCCGAACCCTCCCATTCCCTCTGTCACCCCACGGAGCCATTGGGACCCCCCCAGTCCCCTCTGTCCCCCACCAAGGGCTGCTGGGACCCCTCCAGTCCCCCCGTGCCCCCCGTGCCCCCCTCACCAGGACGATTTTGATGATGAGGTGTTTCTCGTAGGCGCTCTGCAGCCGGTAGTTCTCTGCAAAGCACAAAGGGGGAGGTTCAGGGGGGGCTCAGGGGGGTGGTCCCAGCTCCCAGCCCTGCCTGGAGCCCCCCCCGGGCCCCCCCACGCACCCATGTCATTGAGCCAGTAGGCCACCTTCTTGTACAGCTCGTCACAGGCGGTGACAATGACGGCCAGGATGATCTTGGGCAGGAAACGGATGATCCGGGGCAGCTCCTGGATGCTCAGCACGAACTCCTGGGGGGTCAGGGGCATGGTCAGGATCAGGGACAGGGATGGGACGGGGGCAGGGATGGGACAGGGATGGGGACAGGGACAGGGATGGGACAGGGGCAGGGATGGGACAGGGGCATGGTCAGGATCAGGGACAGGGACAGGGATGGGGACAGGGACAGGGATGGGACAGGGGCATGGTCAGGATCAGGGATGGGGACAGGGACAGGGATGGGACGGGGGCAGGGACAGGGGTGGGACAGGAGCAGGAACAGGATAAGGGGCAAGGAAAGGGATGGGGAGGGGGACAGGGTGGGAGGCAGGGACAGGATCAGAGTCAGGATTAGGGTCAGGGATGGAGACAGGGAGGGAGACAAGGACAGAGTCAGGATCAAGGACAGGAACAAAGTGGGGTTGAGGGACAGGGACACAACCAGGGTCATGGTCAGGGGTGGGGACAGGGGCAGGTTCAGGGTTGGGGTAGGATCAGGGTCAAGTTTAGGAGCAGGGACACAGTGAGGACAGGGACAGGGTCACCACGGAGCAGGGGCAGCCCGGCAGGGGCGGGACAAGGACCCACCTGGAGCTGGAAGCAGCCGAGCATGAGGAGGAAGACGAGGGTGAGGCAGGCGAGGCAGACGGGCAGGCTGACCAGGCACTGGAAGAGCAGCCGCTTCCAGGGCGGGTAATAAAACTCCTCGGCGCTGGTCACGGGGCTGATCCTCTTAACGCCCTAATTGGGGGGGGGGACACAACGAGCTGTGACCCCCCCTTCCCTCTGGGACCCCAGTGCTGGCGGGAGCCCCGGGGAACCCCCCAGGGAAGGGGCTCCCCCTCCCCTCACCCTGAACTGGGGCCGGGGCTCCTCGATGGACTCGGGGGGGGTGTCCAGGGTCCCCCACTTGTAGGCGAACTCGGCCCCCCGGCGCTTCCACTCCTCCAGGAACAGGGTGGCCCAGATGACGTTGAAGATGGCAAAGACCACGCAGGAGATGTCCTGGCTGGTCTGAGGGATGGAGGGAACCAACTGCACCGGGGTTGGTCCCCTCCCGTCCCCAGCACCCCCCCCAGCCCAGCCCTGGGGATCCTCAGGGTGCTCCCCCTGCCCACCACCCCCCCCGGGCTCAGCAGCCCCCCCAGCTCAGCAGCAACACCAGGACTGAAGGACTGTGGGGAAAGTCTGGAGTGAGGAGGGATGGAAACCCACACGGAGGGATGGAAACCCACACGGAGGGATGGAAACCCACAAGGAGGGATGGAAACCCACACGGAGGGATGGAAACCCACACGGAGGGATGGAAACCCACAAGGAGGGATGGAAACCCACACGGAGGGATGGAAACCCACACGGAGGGATGGAAACCCACAAGGAGGGATGGAAACCCACACGGAGGGGCTCAAAACCCCCGAGGAAGGGTGAAAACCCTGCCGTGACCCCCCCTCCAGGAACCGACCCCATCTCCTGCCCCCCTCACCTGGTCGCTCTCGGTGAAGGTGTAGAGGATGGAGCCAAAGACAGCAGGATACACCATGGCCGAGGTGTAGAAGCCCAGCCAGGCGAAGTACATGGCGATTTTCACCCCAAAATAGTCACAGATGTCATCTGGGGAGGGGAGGGGGCACACGAGGGGGGTGTGAGCGGGGCTGGGACCCCCAGACCCCTCTTTTGTGACCCCCCCCAATGTCTCACCGAGGGGCTGGGCCTCGCACACCGCCTGCACCCAGGACTTCATCAGCCGCTTGAGGATCCTCTGCTCGTGCAGCGGGAAAACCTGCTGGATGACGCCCCGGGCCGCCAGCTCCGGGACTGCACCGGGGACACGGCGTCAGGGGCAGCAGGGACACTGCCAGTCCACCCCCCCAGACCCCCCTGGGACCCCACACAGCCCTGGAGGCGTTGGGGTTGGCGCAGGGACAATGGGGTGACCGTGGCAGGTCAGGGCTCTGTGCCCACCGTGTGCCCCCCGCCCCGCTGGCACACGGGGAGGGGGACACGGGGTGACAGGGGACCCTTGGTGGGCTGGTGGCCCCTGGGGCCTCCATGGCACAGCCCCGTGGGCAGGGGGAGTGCGGCAGTGGGGGGAGACTGCTGTGCCGTGCCGGTGCCACGCAGTGCCATGGAAGTGCCATGGAAGTGCCCTCTGGTGCCATAGAAGTGCCATGGAAGTGCCATGGAAGTGCCCTGTGGTGCCATGGAAGTGCCATGGAAGTGCCACAGAAGTGCCATGGAAGTGCCATGCAGTGCCATGGAGGTGCCCTGTGGTGCCCTGTGGTGCCCTGTGGTGCCCTGCCGTGCCGTACTCACTGATGGGCTGTCCCTCGAGGAAGTGGATGTTGTGCAGGGCCTCTCCCTGCTTGGCCCGCAGGTTCTCCAGCCAGTACCTGATGATGTTTTGCCGTTCCTGCGGCACCACGGAGGCTTCAGATCCCGGGGATGGTCCCGATCCCTGTCCCTGTCCTGTCCTGTCCCCTCCCTGTTCCGCCTTGTCCCCAGCTCAGGGGATGGCTGGGTCAGTCTCCAGCTGGGATGGGGCTCCCTAATTCCCTGGGGAGGGGGAGAGGACCTGCCTTCCCTGCCCCATG